TGTTTCTGTTCAGCCTCTTTGAGGCGCACACTCGTATTTTAGACGCTGCTGTATGAATCTCGATTGTAATTGTCTCTGCTATCCATAGCCTCAGAACTGCATCGCTCGAACTTACTTTATCACGTGCACAGGGTACTCGTGGCATAGCGATTGGTGGGATGCAAGGTGCCTTGTCTAAAAGTCTCTCGCAGCTCTCTTAGAAACATTTATTTTTGTTGGCCACTTGCCAGGTCCCCCTCACAAAAGAGGTTTTTAACATCAAGTTTTTTTTTTACCTGGTTGAATAAAGGTGAAATGAAAATATAATTATCGTGCTGAGCGACGGCACAGTGGTTAGCGTGCCATGTTCGATTTCCAGCCATGGCTCCCGTCGGCGTCAAAGTGACATCGGAACCTTTCCCGGCCTCCCCACCACATCGCCAACCTGCACTACCCACAATGGCGAATAGTTCGCGCCTCAGATTATCACAGTTGGCTACGTACGGCGCGTAAGAAGTTCAACGTACGTGGTCAAAAACTCTCCATTGCTGACGAGGCAATGAGGGCGGAGGGCCTTCATTTATTGGTGGATCGACAACGGCTCCGATTAATTTTATTTTCTTTATCGCACCCAACGCGTTGGCTGTACAACTGCCAGATATTACCGTAGCGCCGGGCGATTGTGAGTGGCCGTACGGTAGGCCATGGCGTAATGCTCACAGCCCTTGATGTTCCCCGGAGCTTCTGAGGCCACCGTTGCACAAGGGGGGGGGGGGGGGGGCACGCGTCGAATGATGCGTCCTCGAGTTGCCCTGCTCGTGCTGACGTCGCCGCCATCATTGACGCCGGAGTCCTGCAAAGTGCGCAGCGGTTTCCGTGCTAGCCGCACGCTACCGCACGCTCGCCGGCTGCTACCGCACGCTAGCCGGCTGCTACCGCACGCTCGCCGGCTGCTACCGCACGCTCGCCGGCTGCTACCGCACTCCCGCCGGCTGCTACCGCACTCTCGCCGGCTGCTACCGCACGCTCGCCGGCTGCTACCGCACTCCCGCCGGCTGCTACCGCACTCTCGCCGGCTGCTACCGCACGCTCGCCGGCTGCTACCGCACTCCCGCCGGCTGCTACCGCACTCTCGCCGGCTGCTACCGCACGCTCGCCGGCTGCTACCGCACGCTCGCCGGCTGCTACCGCACGCTCGCCGGCTGCTACCGCACGCTCGCCGGCTGCTACCGCACGCTCGCCGGCTGCTACCGCACTCTCGCCGGCTGCTACCGCACGCTCGCCGGCTGCTACCGCACGCTCGCCGGCTGCTACCGCACTCTCGCCGGCTGCTACCGCACGCTCGCCGGCTGCTACCGCACGCTCGCCGGCTGCTACCGCACGCTCGCCGGCTGCTACCGCACGCTCGCCGGCTGCTACCGCACGCTAGCTGCACGCGGTGGTTGGCTCCGTGGGAAGATCGTGTCGGAGGCTGACTCGCCACTTCCGTTCTCGCTGCCTCGCGCAGCGCGGCGCGCTGGCACGATCACAGCCACCGCATGTCTACGCACGGCCACAGTCCCTCGCTGTCAACGTTTTTTGCCGGTTTTGTTCAAGTTTGATACCTATGCAGATCTTTGTTGTTGTTGTTAATATATTGCTGTGGCGTATTGGTTATCGCACTGGACTGGTGCCTCTGATTAGCACAGTTGACTACGTACGTCGGGAACGAAGTTCAACACACATACATACTTACAGTTGGTTGGTTTGATCTCCCATGGGACAGTTGAAGACACCGATTTGCGTGCGTTTAAATACCTCGTTTGTGATTTGTGCGATATTCCGTATGGGCCCTGGACACTCGTTCTCTGCAATGTTGATGTTGTTATTGTTGTTGCTGCTGCTGTTGTTGCACTCAACGCACTACGGATCTCCCTTTGTAAAGTCGCCGGCCAAGTGATTAAACGGGACCATCGCCCGTGTAACAAATTAAATTAACTCACTTGGTGCAAGTTTCTTAAATCCCTTGAACCTCTGTTTACCCCAGTCGCAGTATCACTTGGTGCACTGCAATCGAGCGGCAGGTAAAATTTGTTGGGGTTAAAGTGTCGGCTCTCCCAGAATCTACATCAGAATCTTTATTTAGACGGGAAGCAATCCGATGAGCTATGAAGCTCTTTTTCATAGATGTCCAGTGTGGACTTGTCGGCAGGTTACCTCTTCCGAGCAAGATGTTTGGTGAGCGTGGAAGGGTAGACCTCAAACACATACCTGCGGAGGGAGCTGGTAGGAACGTTGGGTTGCTCGGTCAATGGCCAGGGTCAATGGCGGCGTGGTGTATTCCGAAAATATGGCCGACTGTGAGGGTGGGTACAAGCCGGCGTGAGTAGGTTAAACGTTGAGTTTTATAAGGGCACCACGGGGTGACCAGCCCCTCCCCACCCAGCCCCGCCCCTCCCATCCCCCACCCAGCCCCTCCCCACCCCACCCTCCCCACCCAGCCCCTCCCCACCCAGCCCCTCCCCACCCTCCCCTCCCCACCCAGCCCCTCCCTCCCCACCCAGCCCCTCCCTACACGACGGACGGACACAATAATCCCCTGTGGGCTGGTGTAACCAGGAGGTTCCTACCAGTATAGCTTCTTCGTGGAGTCTCTCTAGCGCTACCATGAGTGGACGTTCTTCCGCCCACGGTGGAGTGACGACGCAGTTGCAGGGCTGTGCCTTTGCCATGCGCACATTCCCATCGCCTTGTGACGCTGAAACAATATTTAATACACTAACGTTGTGAGTAATAGCCCTTTCTTTAGCAGCGGAGGGAGAGGGCAGAAAGGTTGACTGACATTTCTGGAGATTGCTCTGTATAGTGTAATGGCTTAAAAAAAACACAATGGTGTCACAAGAACAATGGGAAATTGGAATAAAATTGACACCGGGACATTTTGGAATTGACGTACAATCGTTTAATTCCGGGGGGCCATTGTCAAATGCGGTCAGCAGCTGTCGGACATTCCTTCTGCCCTCTGTCTTGTCTGCGGAAGGGATGTTGCCTGAAGCATTAGCCTGCTATACATTTATATAAATATGTTTTGTCTCTGATCTACACGTACTGCTCTCTCTGTCAATCTACTCCTGGATGATGGCCCTCATGCCACGCAGGGTCCACACAGGTATTTTGACCATACTTCACCACGCTGGTCAATGCCGGTTGGTGAAGGCAGGGAGTGTCTACGTACGTTAATATATATGTGTTAAACTTCTTTTGCACCGTATGTAGCTTGCGAGGTCTGACAGGATTGGGCGCGTTCTGAGCGATTGGTAGTAGGATTTTACCCGGTTTCTTCCGTCTTCAGTGGGTGAGGGTGGTACGTGTGTGGGCTTTTAATTTGTGCTCATATCCGGCGCAAGCTCCCTAGTCTCGGCGGCATAATTACTAAATTGTGTTAGTTTTAATATTCAAACTAAACCGAAGCAATTAACTGCGTAATGAGCATTTGACCTGGCCCAGAGCTAGTTGACCTTCGCGAGGATTTTAACGAGGTCACGTCGATAACATTGGGGGGGGGAGCGCACTTGGGAAAATAATTCTATAATTCAAAAAGCAGAATCTCATTACTTTTCTATTAGTCCTCTTTGTCTTTCCTCTCATTGTTTTGGCTATTCTGCCGGAGTCTTGTTATCAGGAGATGAATACTTTTCTACTCGGAATTCTCGACCGAAATGAACGAACCCTTTTGCCCCGAAAATGTTTAGAGTAAAAGGCCCGTTGGCAGACGACATCACAAATCTCACTTTTGTATTCCACGTCTGACTGCTGATGAGAGCCAAAAGGTCGAACGCTGCTGGGCAATATCGGTCTGCAAAACCGATAGGTTGACGGGATGATACATATCTTTTGTCGTGGAGATGAGCGAATGTCTGTTGTTTTTTGTTGTTTTTAATTCACAATGCTCCAGAAGGACACCAGTTGATGAGTTTTGATTGAGCGTCCCCCGGTCTCCGACGGTCCGCGTTTACTACAACCCGCGATCGCGACGGTTTATATTTTACCGCCACCACTGATCGATTTGCTGCGCGGAAGTTTGATTTACGATCGCGACTCCGAACACGTTTGAACGGAGTCGGTCTGCTTTCCCCGATGTGACTCAGCGCATCGAGCTCTTTTTGTTCTGGAGTTGTTTTCGTGGATTTTTGTTACCCTTTTAAAACCTGCCGTTTAACGCGGCCGATAAACGGAAGAGCCCTATGGGTCAGAATTTTTATCGGCCACGTAAAAGCGATAGCTTTGTAATCGTGAAGGTCTCGTCGTCGTGACGGTTTAATGACAAGACCTTAAACTTGCAACCGCGTGGCACGAACCCAACAGCAAACATGGGTCATTGTTATTCGGTTTCGCCAAGCCCTCCTCCCAGTGCAGGAGCCGACTGAAAAAGAGGATTTGGACTGAATATGGGTTTATTATATTGACTGTGTAGACACAAGACTCCCAGCGGTGCCGGCTCGGCATATCCAAAATGATATCAGCCACCCCAAGAGTCTTCCAACCACCTCTGCCTACTTGAATGCGATTGACAATTTTTTTTATTTTACCAGGTAAGGCCAACTAAGCTATACAGCTCTGTTTCAGAAGCCGCCTGGCCACAAATGGCAGCTCAACGAAGTGTCTTATCGCGTGGACGTTTATTGCAGCAAAATAATCTGAACACATTTTTATTCTAAATGTGGAGGGAAACACTGGAGGACCCGGAGAAAAAAAATTGCACGTGACCACGGGGAGAGAGAGACACGCAAACTCCAAATATACAGCAGGTGTCGGGGTCAAGATCAAACCCAAACCTCCTGTATACCAGGCGATGTATTTTAACGTCTCGCCGCTGTGGCACTTGGCTAATTCTTCAGCGTTTGCTTCTTCTCCCCTTCCGGCGGTCGTGCGAGGCACGTGTGGTGCGTGGCGGGGTTGCAAGCGTGCGAGCCGCGTGCCGCTGGGACAAGTCTCGGCCTCGGCTGCAATAATGACCCGTTGCCCCTATCTGCCTCCTGCAGGAGTGGATAACTATGGGCGTCCCGTGGTCGTGATCGTGGGCAGGAACATTCCAATCCCCGTCATCGATCCGGAGAAGGTAATGAGCGAGCGAGCACGTGCGCTGGTGTGCGGGCGGGTGGCTGAGCTGTTAGGGTGTGCTGGTGAACGGGCTGGTGAGCGGGCTGGTGAGTGGGTTGGTGAGTGGGCTGGTGAGTGAGCTCGGTGAGTGAGCTCGTGAGTGGGCCGGTGAGTGGGCTGGTGAGTGAGCTGGTGAGTGGGCTGGTGAGTGGGCTGGTGAGTGGGCTGGTGAGTGTGCTGGTGAGTGGGGTGGTGAGTGAGCCGGTGAGTGGGCTGGTGAGTGAGCTGGTGAGTGGGGTGGTGAGTGGGCCGGTGAGTTGGCTGGTGAGTGGGCTGGTGAGTGGGCTGGTGAGTGAGCTGGTGAGTGGGCTGGTAAGTGGGCTGGTGAGTGAGCTGGTGAGCGGACTGGTGAGCGGGCTGGTGAGTGAGCTGGTGAGTGAGCTGGTGAGTGGGGTGGTGAGTGGGGTGGTGAGCTTGGTAAGCTGGCTGTTGAGTGGGCTGGTGAGTGGGCTGGTGAGTGGACTGGTGAGTGAGCTGGTGAGTGGGCTGGTGAGTGGGCTGGTGAGTGGGGTGGTGAGTGGGGTGGTGAGTGGGGTGGTGAGTGGGGTGGTGAGCTTGGTGAGCTGGCTGGTGAGTGGGGTGGTGAGTGGGCTGGTAAGTGGACTTGTGAGCGAGCTGGTGAGCGGGCTGGCAGGCTTGGCGCGGGTAGGCTGGTGAGCGCACTGGCAGGCCAGCTTGCCAAGGTGGGGGACCGGGGGGGGGGGGGGCGCGGCGAGCGGCGGGCAGGTGGGCGGGCTACCGGGCGCCACTCGTGCGCCTGAGATAGGCTTTCGCGACGCAACTTTTTACATTAAAGGGCGCGGGGGGGGGGGTGGGGTCGGCGGGTGCCGTAGGGAGAGCCCGGTGAAGGTTCTGCCGAGGTCGATGTGATTCGGCTTGCGCTGCCGATTCCCTTCGCAGCCAGATTGTCTTCCCCCAGCCACCGCCACCCCCCCACCTCCCTGCTATTTTTAGACTTGGCAACAGCAATAATAATGGGACGCGTGTGTGAGATGAGAACCCCGTTTTTGGAGCCGTGATGCCGGCTGGGGTTTGATGGGCAGAATGGCCTTTTCCCCACTCATGTGGCTTGTTATTGCGCCTTGCCTCTCTCGCTCTCTGTGCCGATGTTTTTGTGTGTACGCAAGTGTGGTAGTGTGTGTGTGTTGTGTTTCTGTGCACGGTGCGCCTGCGTTCATAGCAGAGAACGGTCTTGTAAAGGCGAGGTTCGATTCCCGCTCACGGCCAACACCGGTGGCTGATATCTGAACCGGTCCTGGGCTTCCGCAAGGTTGACTCAGCCTCAAATGGGTACTATCTTTGTGTGTGTGTGTGCCGGGAAAGGTCCTGACAAGGATTATTCAGGTACACCGAGGAGAGGCTTGCGGAGCCCCAATGTGGTTTCAGGAAAGGGCGGTCCTGCACAGATGCCATATTTTCTGTACCATCAGACACTCCACCGCCACAACTGCGAATTGGTGATGGGGCAGTTGTGGAGAGAGCACACTGCCATATCTGGGCAGTGTGCTCATGACCGGCTCCAGTTTCACAGCAGAGATCTCACTTCGAATCAGTCAAGCGGCTGTATCTTTTCATTGGCTGTGTAACGCTGTGTGGAAGCTACCTGGTCTGTCGCTCCACACGAAGCTTCAGGTCTTCTCGCCCACGGTCTTGCCGTCTTTTCTCTACGCTGGCCTGCTTGCGATCCATCCTGGATTGTGTGAGGAGCTCACAAATCTTTAAAAGATCTGGACAACGTCCCATCGGTGAGCTCCTCCGGCAGGCAAGGTTGCGTTGGCTGGGTCATGTAGCCCTGCATGCCCAGCCACCTCATGCCCAAACAGCTTTTGTTCGGCCAGATAGAGGGGGCTAAACGTGCGCGGCACGGGCTAGAGAAGAGATGGAGTGATGTGGTACAAGAGGAGGTGGAGCTGATTGAACTTGCTGATGACTGGTACCAGCGGTGTCAAGATCGGCCTCAGTGGAGGAGGCTCGTGAAGGACGCTATTGGGCAGTTGGAGGCAGTCGCCCTCCAGCAACAACGGAGGGCAGAGGAGCGACGCTCAAAACAACGAGCGGAGCGCCGGGTAGGTAAAACACAGCAAGTTGGCACAGTAGGGGGCACAGGTGGTGCATAGGCCACTCATCTCAGTCAGTCGACCCATGGAACCTGGGTCTGCCCCGTGACCTCCTGCCAGCGGGCATTCGACACTTCACGTGGCCTTAACATGCACGTAACCTTAACGTGCACATAGCCTGGCACAAGCGCTGTGGTGACGTCACCGCCACTTAGTGGCAAATGGCGGTTGTTGTTGTTATGCACGTGTTAGTGTGCATGCACGTGTGTTTTAGTGCGCGTTCACGTGTATGTGTGTGCACGTTTGTGTGTACGCGCGGGCGTTTTGAGTTGTTCATGGTTAGAGGATGGCGATGATTTTGAAATGTTCATTCTGTGAGGCTCCAATGCTTTAGGTGGCCATTCCTTTAACCATCACACATCCGTGGTTTTGCACATCCCCGTCTGTTCCCGACTGGAAATCTGTGAAAAAGAGCTTCATAGCTCATTGAATTCCTCCAGTGTCAATAAATATTTTGATTCCGATTTTGTTCGTACCCCACCCCACCCCCCCCTGGCCACGCACCCTCTTGCCATGCCCCTGGCTGAGTAATCGGGAAGTGTGGCGGCCGCTGTGTGGCCTCGGTCATCACCAAAATAAACCCCCGGCTGATTGAATCACGAGAACAGCCCCCACCAGATTGTGGTGGTTGCCGCGCGGAAGCCTATCTGATTAGCCGCCGGGGTGTCATTACGGAAATTAGTACCCATCTATACGTGGGAAATTAGGAAGTGGCCACGGTAATGTTTTTTTTAAGTCCAGCCTCGTAGCATTGATAGCCTTCGGGTTTGCTGCTGCTGGATTTTCTGAAGCTCGCAGTGTCAATTTAGAAAATTAATTTTCAAAAAAAAATTGGCGACGTAAATATTCGTCAAGGCAGTCTTCATTTCTTTCATTAAATCTTCGAGCGCGACGACGGTGGCTGCGATTGCTGCGATTGCCACCGCAATCGGGGAGCAGAGCGCGGCTACCGACTGTGACTGGACGAAGTTAACTGAGTCTCTGAATGAAGATGCGCTCCGGGAGGATTTGGTAGGGCGACTCGTGACTGCAGCGCACCAAAGGAACGCCGCACGTGGCAATTGTTGTGGCTGCACTGTGTTTGATAAAGAAATTACTTTCCATGAATGACCTTCAGGCCACCCCAATATAATACGAAAGACGCCATGCCACCTGATTATGCACAACCCTGCCAACCCACGCCCCTCCAATTGCCAGAACATTGCTCCCTGGACAGAAGCTCTCATCACTTGCTGTCCGCATGTGGAACTCGGCCTCCCTGATGAACACATTGTCGGCAAGATCACCGATTCTGGTCTTCAGGCCTTCAAATGCTGAGCACACACACATGGGGCATCTCCTTACTTCACCACGTGCCTTGCCGAGTCTTTGAGCTCCAGTGAATAAATGATTATGCCGATTAGATGTACTAATGTCTGGTATGGATCTTGTGCGCAATTGTATATAAAAAAGGGCCGGATAGGGGTTGTCGGAGATAGCTCAACCCCCCGACACTAACAAGTGGACCAGATTCTTTACAGATTTTAAACAATGGTGCAGGTTTCTTAATTTCCTCCCCGCCACTGTCCACCCAGCAGCGGGCGTCACGGTGGTGAGATTTTAACTACCTCTCCCGGTATACAGGAGGTCGTGGGTTCGATCTCGACACTGACGCCAGTTGTATATTTGGAGTTTGCGTGTTCTCCCCCATGGTCGTGTGGATTCTCCGGGTCCTCTGGTTTTTTTCCCTCCACGTTTAGAATCAATGTCAGGCGTTTGGAGAAGTTAGCTGCTATACATTTTTACGTGATAAGCCACTTCTCTGAAAAAGAGTTACATAACTCAGTGGGCCTTACCTCATTAAATAACAAAAAATATTTATACATGTGGTGGCTTAAAGCATGAGTAGTTCCACCTATTCCAAGACATTTGGCCAGTGTGGAAGCGTAGGCCAGACGGCTCTCTCGAACTCCCTCCAGTGGAGGGCCCCTTCAACCAGTGGTGCCACGAGCGAACAATTGTAGGGCTGCACTTTGACCTTCTGTCGTTGTTATGCGATGATGATAGTAAGGGATTGATCGAATGAAATCCCCAGACTTGAGACTCTACTATGTGTGTGTTACGTATGTTGAACTGCTTTCGCACCGTACGTAGCCAAACCGTGCTAGTCGGAGGTGCGGGGAGGGGGGAGGATAAACTAAACGCAAAAAGCAGTTGTTGAGAAATGAGTTTTCAATCTAGATTTGAAAGTGCATGGCTCCAGTGGCTTTTTAATATCTGAAGGAACAGCGTTCCAGACTAAAACCTCCACGGGTTGTGGTCGACTGGACGAAGAAAGACCACGACTAGGATGAAAAAAATATATATTTAAAAAATGCCGACCCCCCCCCCCCCCCCGCAACGAACGATGTCTGCGCCGCGTAGAGTCTTTGAAGGCTCCGTTTGGTTCGCGTTCCCGTCAGGTCGCGACCGCACGGCTCGCGCGCGCGCGCACACTTAGCGCCGCTCGCGGGGGGATAGATATTTCTGGCGGCGGGGCGTTGTCGTCGTTGTTGTTGTTGCGGGGAAAAAGGGGGAGGCGAGAAAGTTGCATTTCTGACCTTTCGTTGTTTGGCTTAGGTTGAGAAAACAATGAGAGCATTAACTAAATAAACTCTGCGAGGAAACTTGGGCACAAATCCTGCTTTGGGATTTGGCTTTCATGCGCCTGTGCGCGCGCGTGTGTGTGTTTGTCGGTGCATCTGTTTGTCGGCGAGTGGTAGTGTGGTGTTTAGCGCCCTGCGCTACTCACCCCGCGACCTGGGTTAAATTCCCGCTCATGACCAACACCAGTGACAATATATTTGATGCGGTCCTGGGCCTA